GTGAAAACTGATCAGGGAATTTCCTCCTCTGAGCCAGTTTCAGGAGTTCCTCAGGGCTCAGTATTAGGTCCCTTACTATATCTGATTTATACGATCGATCTGCAAGACTGTTTAGTCCACTGTAGTGTGCAAACTTATGCAGATGATACTCAGTTAGTGTTTGGTTTCGATCCATCAAAGGTTGATGAAGTTTCTTTTAAAGTTAATTTAGATTTGGCTAACATCGGTGATTACTGTAACAAACACTGCTTGAAGATCAATCCTAATAAAACTACTGCAATGTTGTACTGTTCGAAGAACTCCTACCGTGAAATGAAGCAGAGGATTTGTGTTTTTTTGGATGAGACACTCATCCCTTTTGTGGATTACGCCAAGAATCTCGGTGTTACCCTTGACTTAAATATGAGATACGATCGGCATGTCTCTTTCTAGAGTAACGTATTTGCGTTTGAAACTCCTCTATTCTAATCGATACATCTTGAATTTTAAAACCCGGAAAAAGCTTGCTGAAAGTCTTGTGTTGTCTGTCATTTCTTACTATCTTGTTCTGTATTACCCATGTTTAGACTACGTCCACAAAAGGAAACTCCAGAAAATTCAGAACAGCTGTTGTAGGTTTATTTTTGGATTGCGCAAGTTTAGTCGCGTCTCAGATAAAATCAAAGAACTCAACTGGTTGCGAATTGATAAGTTATTTTTATATCTTTTGACCGTCTTCACGCATAAAGTTCTATTATCTAACAGACCAGCTTACCTCGCTAGCAAATTAGTTCACCGAGGTAGTTTTGTTACCAGAGCTCTTAGATTTAATGCTCATTTTAACATGCCTCCTCACAATACCTCGGTCTTTGAAAGAAGTTACACCTATAATGCTGTCAAGCATTACAATGCAGTCAACAGTGGCTATCGATCCAAACCGGTTGTTTCTTTTAAGAAATTAATGAAAAGTCAGCTGCTGGAGTCCATTTAGTTCAGTTTTTCTTGTGCTCATGTGATTTTTTTTTTGTTTGACTATTTTCTAGTATCTTTGTTTCAAATTTAAAACTCTCGCAATGCTATCTGCATTTGTTTCGTGCAATCAATGTTGTCATTCTTATGAATTGTATTTTTTTTGGTATGTTATTATTTTGTTCATGTGTGTAAGTATTCTTTTTCCTGTTGTGGGGTTGAGTGTAAGAGTAGCCGTCTGGCTAAACTTCGCCTCACTGCAGTTAATAAAGGCATTGTTATTATTATTATTATTATTATGTGTGCCCAAGCGCCAGTACATAGCTTAAGACGGCCCTGATGTACGGTGACCGCCTTTTCCGTCCTTGAGTAATTTTGAGTTTAGGCTATTTACGGAAGGTTGATTGGTGATCATTTTAAGGACGATGTCATGTTCAAGAATACAGTTTTTCTTAAATGGAGTCTGGGTTTAAAAGGATACCTATGGCGCCCTTTAAAATTCATCAAATTTTGTGGAGACCGTTGGGGAGTGTGAAGTTTCTTGGTGCTGCCGAGATTTTGAGAGTGGAAAGACATCTGTAACGGTAACGACTGATCACAACATAGGAAAAGTATGAGGTCACCAAACATATGAAAACTTAATCTCAAAGTAGCAAAATGCTTCTTAAGAGAAACGTTAGTGGAAGCCAACAGGTGGTGTATTCCTAAAACCCCCAACCATACATCCTGCATTGCCGTAGCTACTCTACAAAAAACTGATTCATCTTCATGAAAAAGATGGCGTCAAGTAGATTGACTCTGCACTTCTTACCTTACACAACGCTGTCACCATTTTATAAAGGATTATATGCGACCCCAGTTAGTCTCTGTTAGAAAAAAGTTGGCTACAAACATACGTTGCAGTGGAATTAAATAGAACGTGTCAGTCAAACAGGCTCATATAATTAGTCCATAGTCCCTAAAAATTTCACAACATTGTGATTTAGCCTAGCCCCTTACCGGCGGTACCTACCACCCAGCAATTCGGCCTGCCCCGGCAACTGCAAATCCAACACGGCCTTGCATACACGGATAGGCGCAAATCGCTCAGCTATCTCTCAGCATTGGAAGCAGACAGACGTACGCTTGTTGAGTTTTGAGGGTAATGTACGGAGATATCTATGATGTATGAAATATGCCCAATAGGTGCATAGATTTACCGAAGTTGGAAACGTACAACCCTCAACACTCAATGAATTTTCAACCCCTGCAAAATTTTTCCTGAAAATGATCATGATCCTTTCAAAAGTCAAACAACGAAGTTTGACCGATTTTCAAAAACTACAAAGTTTTTTGTGCTTGACATAGTAGTAACTTTGTGTGAAAATTTGATCAAACCCGACCAGTACGGGTATTACGTTTCTTGCAGAGTGACATTTTGTCAGTTTTTTTGTCAATTCGTAGGTTTTTGTGACATAATGTAGGTTGCTTAAACGTCAGCGTACAGCGATCATAGCGAGCAAACGTGGAATGAATTATTTGCACACTAAAAAATACCTAGTATGCAAGATGATTTTGTCGTTTTTTTAAGCTTTTTAGGTTTTTTTACATAATACCTCTGCCAGACTCTCCCAGTTATAGCGGGGTCAATGATTAACGGACACACAGACAAATAGACAGACAGACTGACAGAAATGAGTGACATGGTTTTTAGTGACGTAGAGGTGATACTTCATTTTCGACATTTTTATTACAATCATAGGAATTAAAAGGCCACAATAGTTGTCAAACTACTGATACAGGCATCTCATGACTACTGCTATTCACTATAAAAGCGCTGCATCGCTAGACCACTTTACGTTAAAATTGAACATTGTATACTTCGAAAAACGTTTGAGCACAGTTACCGTTATCACCTAATTTCACATATATTCTACGATTTCTGCAAATGCTCAAGATTCCTCCAGGTAAAGTTCACATCACGTTTTCAAAGCGAATCGAATGTTTCCAACAAATTGAATTTGCCGGCCACTTCTCGGTCTAGTTGTTCCCTTCTTCCATAAACTACATGCACTGTAAATTGCTTTCTTCGTTGTAGTTAAATTACAAAGCGCAGTTATATCACATAGAAAATGGTGTGTGCTCTCCTTAGCGCGCCAGAATCTCGTAAATTCATATCTACTTCTAATTAACTACCGGCAACAACACTTAAACGCCACATAAATTGCTAACAGCTTTCATTTTCACGATTCTGCCGCTGAACTGGAAGCTCATCATCATTTGCGTTCGTTATGTGATGGGCTGACACCGAGGATGATCCAGCAGCAGACAGAAGTATCTTCCTTGCTTCGAAAACGAAAAGTAGCGAAAACCAGCACATTCTCCCTTTCATTCCAAAGAGTCGAAGCGGGGGTTTCAAGGGACCGGTTTTGGGTCCAACGCTGTTTCTACTAACGACCACCTCGCCTGCAGGACGAATTCGATCCACAGCTTTGAGGATGACGGACCGCGCATGCAGGCGTTTAAAGTTTCAAGCCATTCTGGGCAGATATGATGATAAAGAAGACTGGTAGCAACTTCCTTTTTTTTTAACTTGTTAATCCTATTTTTGAACTGTCTAAGGTTAACAGAACTAGGAAAAGCATTCTCAAACAGATTTTTCCATAATTTCGACACCCTAGCAACTAAGGCGCAGCCGTATCGGCCAGTTCTGGTTTTACGAAGTTCGAGACGGTTAGGATGGGAGGCCAAAGTCAGGTAGGTCTGTCTAGCAGTCTCATTGACATAGCGGTAAGAATAGGGCCGGATCGCTGACGACCCGTCGACGTCTGTGCGAAAGGGTCCTGAGACAATCCGTTAGAGATCAGTCGAAGAGCCTTCCTCTGAACAGCGTCGAGCATAGATAATGTAGTCGGGCGGCAGTACCCCAAACATGTGAGTAGTACTCGAGGCTAGGCATTATCTGGGCCTTGTAAGAAGTGGAGACGTTATGAGGAGAAAAAAATATTCTTAGCGCTAAACAAATAGTTCGTTCGAGATGTATTCATACAAGATCAAGTCGGTGAACTTCGACCAGCCGAACGGATCTTTGGTAGAACTCGGCCATCCATCGAAACCGGATTAGCGCTAGGGCGCTTCTTGTTAGTCCAGGTACAACACTACGTTTTGGAAGAATTAAACGGATGAATCTCTGATGAAATACCTGGAGGTTTTCAGTATACCCTACTTCACGAGTATCCATCACGCTTTGACGTCTACTGAGGTGAGCAGCTGATCTGCAAGTGACATTTTTCTTTTAATCTGCAACGTTGATAATAATAAATCGGATGTAAACCTAGTAAAACTTGTCTGACGTTTTTTGTGTTTTGTGTGCAAAAAAAGATTTCTAAATAAAAGAGCTTTTAGAAAGTACAAAATGAATTTGTAACGTACAAAAAACCAAAACAAAATATGGCTGGAATATACCTAACATGACCTGGAAATGAATTTACTCAACTTGAGGTTAGTAAGAACTGACAGATGATAGCAGCGAAATATTTCTTGACAGATTTCACCATTTAAACCACGCCTATATTTCACTATTAGTCTGATGATGTTTTCCTTTTTGGCCGCCGCATGCGCGGAGATTGATTTAGTTACATTTCACTTCTGGCCAATACTTCAAGGATGCAAGATATTGATAAAACGCTCATTATCCTGGATGTTGTATGCTGAATTCACTAAAGTATCATTATTTAAAAAGAGGTCAACCTAAACTTATATGTAGAAAACTAGCAGATACTTCACGAACTATGATTTGTAACTGATACTTTTGAGTCACGAATCACAACTTTTATCAAATATCGTAACGTGATCAGAATTTCAGGAACTGGATGCTTCACGGTAACGGCGAATGGCATGGATCACAGCGCTAATGTTTGAATATGCGTAAGGTCGGCATTACACTATAAAAGTTCTTTGACAAAGATGTTTGATAAAAGAAGTTGGAAAAAAAATGTGACAGTGTAATAGGCCAACTTTTATAAAATGAAACTTATATAACAGTTCTCTTATCATCCTATATTTGATAAAAGATTTTACGTGGTTGTGTCAAGATGGGGGAAGACCGATGGTGTGTGGGGTACTGGAGGCTAGTGTAACTATCTCCGGTGGCTAGAAATCGCAATGTCACCATCAGCCTCTCCTCAGTACTGATGGGGTTTCGTAAATTCTCAAAAAGTTAACATAACTTCTCTGATCTTCCACTGCCAGTTCTTGGACCAAGTTATTGTAGATCCTCTTCAACTCACGGCGGGCGATCCACGGTTTTACTCACAGTCGCTTCTTTTTCGTTGTTTAAGCCACTACAAAGGCTGCAAAAGTAGAACTAGCTATGGCAGCAACCTGAACGTCGTCGTCCATAGCTGTATTTGCACTACCTTCTTAAAATAGTTTATAAAATCTATTATGTAGTGTAATACGCTGTTTGGCAACCATAACATTTCTTTTATGTATAACTTCTGTAAAAGTAATTTATAAAAGATCTTTGTCAAATAACTGTAGGTCGAGCAACGTATGCTACCGTAAAACCACTATGATCCGGAAGCGATATCATGTTTATAGACTTTGGTAGTTGTCTCCATACGACTTCATCGTGACTTCTTGTCAGGATATCAGTATGCCCATAATCTCATTGCGTTATTCGAAGGTCGTGATCACTGATATCCAAATAAAAAATAAAGATGTCGGCCATCTCTGGGCCCGTATTCTAACGTTACCATCATTCTCTAAGTAACTTTAATCAATGACAGCAGACTGAAATCAATATTATTGCCCCTCATTAAAACAAACAAGATTACGTTTCCAATCATAAACAAAGTGTACTAGATTTACATCTGTAAACGTAAACCGTAATGTATATGCACTATTCATCAAGTTACAGCCCACCTACTTAGTTTCATTTTTCATGATCTGATATTTCCTACCGAACAACCTCTAATTTACTAATCATTTTTGCCGCAAGTCGCAGTTGAGTTTTCCGAACGTTGACTGCAATAGATCAGGCTCACTAGCCAAAAACCCCTTTGTAGAAAAAAATGGAGTCAAGTAGGTTAACTCCACACTTCCCATGCAACGGCAAGCTAGACACTCTGAGGAAAAAGTCAGCTACGAATATGTGAAACTTAAAAATTTAACGGATAAAGTCAGTCAAACAGGCTCGTACACTTAATCCATAGACATACATTCCCTGCCCTACCCGTAGTATCGTTCATCTGGCAACGTCGCCGCTCCTCCATTTGGCATCGGTGGATGAATCCACTCGTCAGACTTGATACCCTCGGCAGCGTGGCAGTGACACTTATAACGCTCGTCAATCGTGTCGAAGATATATTTCTCTACCATACCAAGTTTTAGGGGCAACTGAACGGGGAAATCTATGGTGTAAGAAATATGTAGTAACAGGTGAGTTGAAATGAGGTTGGAATCGTATACATACACTAACGCCCAAAAAATGAGACATTTTTCCTCCACCCTCTACAACCACCAATCTTTAGTCTCTACGAAAATCCTCAGATACGTCAAGAAAATTGGGCATTTCAAAATTTCAGCCCAACCCGACCAGTACTTTACAAGTTATAGATGAGCCAAGCATTAGCGGACAGACAGAAGGACCTATGATGGAACTAAGTGACATGGGTTTTCGTGATATCCCATTTTCGACATTTTTGGCAATTACCATACTTCCTCGCCAGTAGGCGTGGAAAGTAAACTACAAATGTAGCAATATTGTTAAGGGTAAACGAAAAGATTCCTTATTTAGTCTAAGATGTATACAGGGTGACTTCGAAGTTGAGTCATTTATTTTAACAGTGAGTAGATCTGATCAAAAGAAATGCTTTTTTCCTTTAACATTTTTGTGGTAAAATTAAAGTAACAAAGTTATAGCCCTTTAGAAGTTTGAGTACCGCCCTGTCGCAATAATAATATTATGTGCTCGTGTTTGGCAACAACGGATATAATCCGCCTTATCCGTTCATCGCATCGGAAACAAAAAAGCGAAAGAATTTGAAACGATGTTTTTACTACAATGTACAATTTTATTCAGTTGTTTTCCGTCAATGTGTCAGTCGGTAACGCGTGAGTGAATAGTGGTGTTTGTTGCGTGGCTTAAACGAAATAAAAAATGCACATGTTTACGAAAATGCTGAACTTGTGGACATGATTCTTATTTACGGGGGGGAGGAGTCTTTATGCGGATCGGTTTCCCAATCGAGTGCAACCAACCCCTCGTGTTAATGTAGTACAAAGGGCTCGTGAATCAGGTGACTTAAGACCTCACAGGGGAGGGCATGCCGGTGCTCCAAGACCGCACGATCAAATACAGGTCCGCACTGAAATACTTGTCGGGAGGATACTTTATAAAACAAGGTAACAATTTCTTTAATTTTTATTTTTTACACACATATTTTGGTTTATCTTCCTTCTACAATCATTATCTGAAAATTAATGACTCAACTTCAAAGTCACCCTGTATAAAGCACGGATATCGAGATGGCGTTGAGTCTTTATCTGGATGTCACCGATGAATTTTGTTTCTCTAGTCAGGGCACAAATAGCAAGAAGTCGGATGGAAAAAAGGCTGTTCTGCTTTCTAAATCAAGGTTCAATAAGTTAGTATAGATATACAGGGTGTCCGAGATAAGTATCGTATGCATGGGGATCTCAATACCCGTGGGAGATACAGCTTAGGTTAAATTAGGAAAAAGTAGCGTTCTTTGGAGCATATTTACATGCCGTTGAGAAACTTGTAACAGTTTCATGGCTTACTGAGATATATGGGAAAAATCAAGATTTTATTCTTTTCTGACTTTATTTTAAGAGATATCAAAAAAAAATAATGAAAATTTTCCATTGACACTTTTTAGGCACTACATTATGGTGTTTTTGTCAAATGTTGTGCCCGACGGTACGTTTTTGAGAAACTATCATCAACGTTATTTTAAAAAAAAATTACACCCTGTATCGTATGGCATGTTTATATACGAATTCAACGATGAATCACATATATTATTTTCTTGGTTATAAGTTACAAGGAAAACATTTTTTCTGATTTATTATTTCTTTAAGTAGGCGTTGCAAACAAATGCTTGAGTTGGCGTGAATACCTGTCACCGAGTACTTATTATTATTATTGTATTCTATTAATTTGCTTTATTATCGTCATAGATGCTAGGCGGTCGACATGCTGACGTGCTACATTTTGTGCTACAAAAATACTAAAAATACTGCAGAAATGTATCTTGATAAATTTACCGAAAGGAGACAGTCCATTTTCTTAGAGTTGGCTTGAAATTTACAAGAATATGGTTTATTCAAAAAGCCTGTTACGTCTCGAAAAAAGGAATCTTTAGACTAAACTCAGAATAGTTTTACAAGCAGTTGCCGAGAACCCTGAGATATCAACAAATTGAGAAAAATGTAGGAGTAGCCAAATCCACAGCCCAATTTATATTGCGTAAAATAGATATCACCCCTATAGATTCAGGATTTTCAAGGACTTAGATCAGAGGATAGCGAACCGCGCCAGCATTTTTATGAGAGGTATACAGGAAGATTTTAATTTTCCTTCAAAAATAATATGGTCCGGCAAGAGCTCAGATCCGCGGGCTAAAAAAGTATCCAGACATTAAGAAGGTTTTGGGGGGTGTGGAATTGTAGGGATCAGCATATTAGGTACACTTATTTACCACAATTCCCTAACTGCAGAACGGTACCTTCAATAATTGTTAAACTGAGCAGCGGCTACGAGTATGTAATGGAAACATTTAGTATGATTACACCAGAAATGTTTCGTTACATGTGATGCATCTTGTTGAATTCGTAGAAAAAGATGTAAGGTGTACTTGTACTATGGCTGTCACAAAATTTAAATACCGTCATGTGGTGCCTAAAAGGCAGGATATGATCATTAGTTTTTTGATATTTCTTTAGATAAAGTCAGAAGAAAATAAAAACGATTTGGCTAAATTTTAGCTTTCCCAAATACCTCAGTAATCTATGAAGATTGTACAAGTTTCTCAACGGCATGTACATACGCCCCAAAGAACGCAGCTTTTTTCTAATTTCACCTAAGCTGTAGCTCCAACAGGTATCCCCCTGTGACGGGTGTTATATATAAATCTCAAAAAAATCTATGATTTTTTAATTTTTGCGCTTTAGCAAATAATAAAAAAGTACCCAGAAAAATTATTGTACGCCCATTTGAGGATATTCGCATGTTCCTCTAAAATACAATTTCGTTTTAAAATCAACCTTCACTATTTTTCTGAAGATCCAGACATCCTGGCCTATAGAAGCCGCAAGGCAAAACTAATTTCATTTGCGAAATCAAACAATGAAAGTTATAAGAAACTTTCATGGTTGATTGTTATAGATGTTACCGACATGTACAACAAAGTGTTGTGGCGCGTGCACAATTATATTTCACTAATTTGAATAGAAAATAGCGACTGGACATAATGGTTTGATAGTAGGGAAAAATGTCTGCCGATGAAAAACGTTCATGCGAAATGGAAATTAATGATATGTATGTTTGATAGTTGAACGATTCCGGTTTGCTTTGCATATTGTGTATGATTAATAGCGTTAATATCGTTGTATCATTAATTGCTGACAATATGATATATTTTTTATTATTCTATCGTTTGATTTGATGAAAATTAGTCGTGCAGAACTATCTAAACTGATTGTGTGTACATATAAACATATGTTCACAGGGGTGTCCTGAAAGTACAGGATAGCTGCAGAGGTATTCACATAACATTACGTCGAAAATGAAAAAACGCTTAGCAGCACAATTGAAGACCTCAAGGTTCTATCCTCGAGCCCCTGCTATACATCATATTTGAAGCTGACAAAAATATATTATGTATGCCGACAACACTACGAGTTTTTTTCCGCTTTTCCTACAACCATAAGTCTGATCACAGTATCCTGCTCATAGCTCTGAATGGTTCCATAAAGCAATGCCATTCAGCAAAGTTTTTGAGTTTATGTCTTTCAGATAATTGTAAATGAACGAATCTCTTTAAGCTGAAGCTTATGTGGAAAACTGGCATCGATATCATACTGCGTTAAGCTGAGGTGGACAGTTGATAGATCGGTATCAATGATATACTATGCATATTTTCACTCAAACATTCATTATGGCATAGCAGCATAGGGAGGCAGTCATGAAGTAAGCTAAGTATTTGTTGTGTAAAAACTTATAGCGGGAGTGGGGAACAGAGTAGGTGCAGGAATATCTTCATAAATTTAAATGTAATGTACTGACTGTTACCTGTGTTATACTACTTGGGTCTTGTTGGGGACTTCGTGTGTCAATTTTTCCCCCCTCGATCTTCGTTTCCTCAGGTTACACCCGTATCCGGATGTATGGGCATGTGTATCTACTTTTGCGCATTTTGCCCATTATTTTCCTACTTTTTGTTATATACCTTTCTCCGCATGATCTTTTTCTCTTTGTAGAGCAAGTGCTCTAGCCATTTTATACTACAATGTGTAGGTTGGCTCTTGTTGGGGACTTCGTGTGTCATTTTGTTCCCTCTCCATCTTCGTTTCCTCAGGTTACACCCGTATTCGGATGTATAGGCTTGTGTATCTACTTTAATGGTTGCATATGTGCATTCATTTTGGGCCTGATGAAGCCAACAAGCAGAAATACGTATTGCCCGGGTTAAATATTTTCTGCTCGAATCCACTTATCTCCTTTTTGTGGTTTTTGCCCATTATTTTCCTACTTTTTGTTATATACCTTTCTATTTGTAGATTCCTTGGGCTTGAAATACCACAGCAAGTGTTCTAGCCATTTTATACTACAATGTGCAGGTTAGCTCTTGTTGGGAATTTCGAGTTTTTTCCTCTCCATCTTCGTTTCCTCAGGTTACACCCGTATCCGGATTTGTGGGCATGTGTATCTCCTTTTGTAGTTGCATATGTGCATTCATTTTGGGCCTGGTGAAGCCAACCAGCAGAAATACGTATCGCTCGGGTTACCTATCCTATTTTCTGCTCGAGCCTACTTTCCTCCTTTCTGCGGATTTTGCCCACTATTTTCCTACTTTACATATGTATATATATGAGCTGATAGTAAATGTCAGACATATCCAGAAAACTTCGAGCCATTAAATTATCATAATTATGACTTCAGAAACTCACATCTACTGCAGGTACCTGCACATAGGTTATCTAGGACAACTTAATCCCAATCACTTGACTACCAAATCATATAATAAGCTACCAAGGAGTATTAAAAAACTGAACGTGCATGATTTAGAGAAAACTTTTGAAAAAATGCTAATAGCAAAACCTAGGGAATATTTAAAGGATAAAATTTAGGAATATATTAATTAGCTTTGTTAGTCATACGTCACCTGTTTCCGATTTTACAGTCCTTAATGTAATCCTACTATAACTGTCTTTTATACGATATTTGTCTATATGTGTTTATGTAGTTTACCTCTTTTTCACTTGCCTTAATATCATAACATTATGATTAAAAAGACCAATAAAGTTTTATTCTATTCTATTCCCGTATCCATTTCGACTATCTTTGTACGATGTAAACAAACCTACCCATTTCCGGACGGAAACATCGGAACGATCACACTTGGGAAGTATCAGTAGAATCTTGAAGACACTTGAACTAAGCTAACATCAAATCGATAACTTCGGTTTAGGAAGGTGTCAATTTCGGTTTTTCAAATCCGATTATAAATAAGATAGGTTAACCTAAACATCGCGCGGTGCCTGATTTTGATACTGATGCAATCGTACCACAAAATATCATACCTTGTGATGTAAGATGCAGGGTCGAGCTTAGTCCACTCTAAGCTTTTAGGAACTTAATATCCTGGTTATTCTAAGACTTTGGTGTACTCGTATGTGTTACTAGGAAAACTTAATGTTGCCTTACCTAGCAGTAAAAATCCGTTAAAAATAGAAATTTAAAAAAACATAACTGAACCTGCTTTCTCACATTTTATGGTAAGTCTTTGAAGCTAAACACAAGAGACCTATCAAAAATAACTGCGTACATCCATAGTAAATGGTTACAAAACTGAGGAAAAGTGCAAGATTTGTATACATTTGCAGTCATTATGGTAGAATGAAATTCCAGATTTTACTACCTTATAGAATTGTCATGGAGACGTAAAAATTGTATCAAGGTCTAATTGAAGGATATTCTTTTATTATTTTTTAATTGGCGTCTAGATCAGGGTTTCCCTACCTTTTTTTTGTTGAGGCTCCCCGGACTATAAATTATATTTTCATGCCCCCCTTTACTTTTTCAATAAATACAAAAAAACGCACATTATATAGGTACAAAGACTTTTAATTCTAATAAAGAAACTTTAAAAGTTTAAATAAACTAATAATTGTTTTTTATCGAAAAACTTGAATAAAATAGGAGTCTCCGCCGATGTAACGAACATAAACTATTAACTGTGCACAATTAACGATGTCGGTGGATTCATCGCAACTAATGGCAAAAAATGGCGATAATTTTACTTTGTTAATTATTTGAGACTTTATGTCTGCTGCAATGTCATTGATTCTATGTTTGACTGTGTTATTCGAAAGAAAAAGACCTCATTTTTTTTCTCTGCATCTTCTCCAAAAATTATCTGCGTGGCTTTTAGGACACATGGTTTTATTAATTCTTCACCGAGAGTATGAGGTATATTTTTGCTATCATAAAAGCTATTTCAAATGAAGCTGTGAGATGCTGCGATTCACCTGAGAGATAACTTCCCGATTTATCCAGTCTCATCCGCTTGAGTTATTCTGCTTTAGAAGAAAAAAACTCTTTCGTCTTCAAAACCAGAGTAGGATGTTGTTGCTTCAAATGCCTTTCAAGGCGATTGGGCCTCATGCTATTATTACTTAAAACTTTCATACATATCACACACACTGAGGCAATTGTAACTCGTCTTTTTCTATGAAGGTAAATCCAAACTTAACGTAATCTTCGGAAAACTTTCTTTTTGCTGCCATTTTGCACCTACGATATAACAATAAAACAAATAAGTAATAAATAAATAAGCAAAGTACCTACATGTAATTACTAATTATTTGCCCATTATTTTATCTCAATAACGTAATATATTCAACAGTATATTGGCCACCGGTAGATTTATATTTTTTTGGGCAGGTTGACGTTACAATAGTAATTTTAAATACATTTGGAATTAATATTAGGTTCTTAAAGTTCGTCTTTTCCAAAGTATTTGATTGATCTACGAACGCGTCTCCACTCAATCAACAATTTAGTAAATTAAATAAAAATGGTAACTGAAGTTTGTAAATACACAAACTTACCTTTTAACAGTAAGATACAATAATTTCACACACTCAGTTTTCTCAACAAAACATGTACATCGAAACGCCAAATTTTTCGCAAGTTTGTAAGAATGAATGTCACAGATCCTCATCCACGTCTGGTAGGTACACAATTGTTTTCTAAGTGATGAATGTTAAACGGAGCGCGGCGGGGGTGCGCGCGTTTCATATTGTGACTTGTCGAAACTTGTATAAACTGCGATTGACGGCGCCGGGTTTTGAAACAGCGGTTGACAGAATAAGTGAATATGATATTTGATTTCTAATTTTATGCGTGTAAATTGAACATTACATTGTAATGTCATTTGTTTATTTTTTATTTCTGAAATGCAAACGCTTTCCGCTCCCCTTAACAGCTCTTTATGCCCCCTTGGGAGGCGCGCCCCCCTGGTTGGGAACTCCTGGTCTAGATTATTATCTTGCCCTACAGTGCAAAGAGCCAGAATTGTTGGATTCAATGACCCATTTACCATTTCAGTCCCCGTCAAAACAAACGTCAGCGCGCGACGTTCACATTCGCATGCTTATATTGGTGACCGAGCCATAAATGCCTAGGAAGGCACCGACAAGCGAATAAAAGTGGCGATTAGGTTTGAGTTGACGTTAAGTGTACCAAGTTAAATCGACTTATAACAATTACTAGCTTAAATTAAAAATTTATTAAATTAACCGGTGATTGCTCAGAATATTTTAGAAATCCTTTTTTGAGACAAACGGTTTGTTCCAGTCGAGGGTAGCATGGCGCTAGGCAGATGTTTCGCGCCGCGCAACCGCAACAGCTGGGGCCCCATATCGAGTTGCCCGCCCATTCTGCGCAGACGCGACACCACCGTCGACGAGGCATTCGCCGACGAATGCGCCGAGCGGGCTATCAGCGTGCAGGCGCGCCAATTGGACCCGCTCAAAGAGGACTTGGCAGATTGGCTCAACAGAACTTTGGGTGAGTTATTGTATTTTATTTAAGCTTACTTCATATCACATATTTTTTTGGCAAAAAGTTTTAAAGGAACTTTCAAAATAGAAAAAAACAGTTTGTCCTCAGAGGTCTTTTAGAGGTCAAGTTTGTACATTCAAATAGCAACCACTATTTTGAACCCCTCGAAAACTTGGCAGGTACGCATTTGTTGGAAACTTCACATTTATAAAAATGTAGATTCTAATTCCAACCACTATTTCTGACAACATATTCGTATTCAGCTCGAGATTCTACATCGGAATGCATTTTTATGTGTGAGGTCATGGGGTCATAAAAGGTCCAAGCACCTACTATAACGTCAAAAAAATTCACAAACACCTCGTAAAACTTGGCAACCAAGCATTTTTCGAAAAATGGTCGTTATCTAGGTTACATCTGAGGTTATCGGTAAATCACTCGTAAAACTTTTATTACAACGTTTTATCAAAATATGGCAAAATGAAGTGTCTCTTTATCTCTATATTTTTGAACAAGATAAAAATAAAATTGCGATAACATTGTTTGCTTCAAATGAGCCAGCAGCTAAAATCTCCCTTTATTTGATTGAACTCACCAAAACCCCCTTGGTTGTGCTTGATACAAAGCCCCATATCGCAAGTTGAACGTTTTTATAATGTGCGAATGACTATTACCTGCTGTTCCCGCTAACTGAGCTATTTCATTTCGGATATCATCTCATTGCTGATAAAATGTCTAAATCATAAGCAATCATGGTAGTTAACGTGGTAAATTATGGAGTAATTAGTGGCCATCCCATTAACGACTATGCCGAATTTCAGGTAAAAAAGGCAGATGAGTATAGTACTATATCTGACAATTTTTTTTTCTGAGGATGGCTATAAAAGTTTGCTCTCTATTATAAAACATACTAATCTTTCACATTGAATAGAAGGAAATCACTTTTTCGAGAATTATAGCACCATATTCCATTCCAAAAACCCATCAAATTAGTTGTGCACTGAACAGCGCATGCTCAAAGCGAAAGTTTTCTTGGAAGGTTAATTTAATATTTAAGAATAAAAAATTTTCGTTGAAAAGAAAATGGAGTTTCTCGTTATTACTTCTAAGAGAATTATTGTGATCCTACATGGCAACGTTGTTGTGATGATGGAAATTGTATGTGAACGTCCAAACATGGAGAATACGTTAAACAATTATTCATATTTAGTTTTGTGATATAGCTTTTTACCATTCCATTAAAAAAATGTGAAAAAACAAAAAAAGAAACAAACGTATACAATTAACCCAAAGAATATGTAGGTCGCCGAACAACAAAAGCTGTAAATAATTGTACCTTGATTTAAGTTGTAAAATACGGATTAATATTTTAAAAAATTACGAGCAGTAATTATACAAAGAAGACTTTTGATGAGACGTTATTAATATTAATATACACCAAGGTTTATCATTCCGCAAACAAAAATAATTTCATTTTTAACGAACAAAGAATGATCGATGTTCGTCAGAAATCTAATATGCTAAAAATCATACAGTGCTGTTTCTTTCCACGCCTACTGGCAAGGGGGTATAGCGATAATTTTAGAAAATGAGATATGTTTTTGTCTGTTTGTCGATCTGTCTGTTTGTCGGTCTGTCTGTTTGTCGGTCTGTCAGCAAATCTTATACATATAAGTTGTGAAGTACCACTCGGATTCCGATGAAATTTTCACACAATGTTACTAATATTCCAAGGACACAACAGCTTTGTAGTTTTTCAAAATCGTTCAAGTGGCGGCGGTGTAAAAGGCTAAAAGCGAAAAAGAATGAAAATTGCTCAAACTTCATTGTTTGACGTTTCAGGGGATGCTGGTCATGTTTGAAAAAAATTTATAGGAAAAAAAGTTGGCGGGGAAGTTGTAGAGGGGAGAGGGTGTTGATAAAAATGTTGACGTTAGTACATTTATACGCTCCCAATATCTTGACTGTGTTATTCGAAAGTCTTCCTCCCCACTTATTGTTTAACTGATTATATGAGCAAGCTGAAATTCGGGGTGACGAATTTGATGTATACTTTGAGGTTGAGTCATTAATTTTCAGATAATGATTGTAGAAGGAAGATAAACCAAAATATGTGTGTAAAAATAAAAAAAAATTAAAAAAAATGTTTACCTTGTTTTATAAAGTATCCTCCCCACAAGTATTTCAGTGCGGACCTGTATTTTATCGTGCGGTCTTGGAGCACCGGCAAGTCACCTGATTCACGAGCCCGTTGTACTACATTAACAAAGGCACGAGGGGTTGGTTGCACTCGATTGGGAAACCGATCCGCATAAACATGTGTCATTTTTAATTTCGTTTGAGCCACTATTCACTCACGCGTTACCGAATGACACTGACTGTATAGTGTATACAACTGAATAAAATAATTGTAAAAACATCGTTCCAAATTCTTTCGCTTTTTTGTTTCCGATGCGATGAACCGATAAGACGGATTATATCCGTTGTTGCCAAACATGAGCACATAATACTATTATTGAGACAGGGCGGTACTCAAACTTCCAAAGGGCTATAACTTTGTTACTTTAATTTTACCAGAAAAATGGTAAAGGGAAAAAACACTTCTTTTGTTCAGATCTACTCACTGTTAAAATAAATGACTCAACTTCGAAGTCACCCTGTATATTTGTAGCGTAAAAGCGGTAATTGAAACTTTCAGGCTGGTGATTGGGCGCCACCTGGAACAATTTCTTTAAGTGGAGTAGGAGGTATGAGTATTTACTATCATTCATAATGGCAGGCTGGTACGATCCAAAAATAAGGGGTAGAAGATATTTTTTGAAAAGCGCAGCATTACTATTTCTTTGTGAAGCAGCCTAAACACACATATTATGCTTGAAGTAAATATTTGAAAGTTTATGTACCAAAATTAGCCGTGCTTTTAAAACGCATCAGTACATTTTTGTCAATCAATATGAAGCATAATGCATTCATTAAAAACTGTAGTGTAGTGTTAGTTTCAACCATATGTTCTATTCCAAAGGTTATCGAAAATGGCGCCTCTTGTTATTTATAGAACATATTTCCTCATGTGTCACTAGCAGTTCAAGAACTTGAAGAAAAGAATCATTGTCAAGGCTGATTCTATTTTAATATCCGTTAGACGAGCAAGGTAGATAAAAATATACGTATCCATTGTTTTGAATTATATAATTGTGGTTTCATGCTTTTGAAAAGGGGAAGAGGATGTCATAAAAATACGCAAAGGATGTAAATGCTACAGAAAGTTACATAAATAGAGAAGCATCTGTTGTTTATTTTTTGTCTGGAATGTTTTAACTTCAAATTACTCCATTACTTAATATTGGTTTTTTCGTGAATGGCCGGTGGATATGTATTGCTGGGTGTTACTATTTAAGCACTTTTGGCATCTAGCAAAAAGACTGTTGCTATTTCATATCAATATAGTCTTATCTCATATACTTCTTTTTCCTTAATATAAGCTTCTCATGTAGTCAGTATTATCTCATGTTATGTGGTCTTCCCAAAACACTTTGCAGATGTATTGTGGTGCATGGATGGTTGTTCTCCTTCACACATCATTTCATTGGAGGTGCACGGTAGGAGTTCCTACTTCCCAAAAGAAAAAGATCGCTGAAAGAAGAAAAATACGCAGAAAATTCATGTTACGACTGCATTCGCTCTAATGAAGCCACACCTCCCCGCTCTTCAATTTTCAATCGCCGGCTTTCATTTTATTTCCCTTGTTCCCCCAACACGTTTGGATGTGCGTTTGAAAGTACCGGTTTGACACATATACTACAGACGAAGCAATTTATTTTCGATGATCGAACATTTGTACCTCCATCATCGTATTTTACGGTAGCTGATATGAAAGGTTAACTCTGTCCCTCTTTTTTCCTTGTTTGCAGTTTACATTTCTAACACTGGTGTCAATATTTTGGATCTCGTTGGTACCGGAATTGCATACGTACATCACTCTTCAAGCCAAACCCCAAGAAACCAATGAAAAGCAAAATACGTTTACATACAATAGAGATACTTCTACTGTTCACACACAATGAGTTGATTTCAAATCTCCATCAGTTATGTCCATGCAAACGATGAATTTAGAGCTTGTTTGAGATGTACGATGACTTCCAGGAACAGTTATCTCTATCCTTTGTCCCATCCTTGTGATGTGCATACGGCACCAGCAGTGGAGCGGCTGCTTTCAGCATCCGATGTCGAAATGCAAAAGGGCCTTCCCAAGCGGTCTACCATACATACTAATTTCTTTGTGGTATCGGACGAGCTCTTCATAAGTCAGTTATTTTAGCTTCCGCGAAGCGATACATGTATGAGTACTTTGGTTTGGTCAGTTTTTATCCTGGATTTTAATACTGTATTCTGTATTATAGGAACGGTTAGCTGTCAAGGTCAAGACACTAGATCGTATCGAGATTCTCGTCCATTTTCAAGATATTGTATAATATTTTCAGATTGTGTAACTGAAATATTTTTGGTAGTATGGCGACTACCTTTCTACACAACTGCTATCTTAATATGAGAGCAGATGCTTATGTGGTTGTTAAAAAGTAAAAGCAGGTGATCTTAGCAGGCCATGTTTCACAAACTATTATTAAGTTGACGAGTCAAACTGTTGTGACGTTATGTTGTTTTTAGTTCATGCGTGACAAGGATTCTAGTACTCATAGAAATCTTGTTGACCAAAGAGCCGTAATAAAATGTCTGCAAAACATCCTCTGGATTTACCAAAATATTGTGGACATTGTTGGAGACCATGCAGTACTGATTAACGAATTCTACCCGAGGAGCCAACCTAATACTATATTTGCGAGTCCCAAAAATTATCCAAGATGAAATAATTCTCTTTAGCGTCATCTATAACAATTTGTCAACGCAATGTATTTCTTCTCCGCGATAATCAGAAATCTGCTTTGAAAATATTAGTGTCTGGTAGATTATGGGACAATAACCTATTTGAAGGAGATTCCTAATTATTGCGGAGAGGAGGAAGACAGATCTGACAAATTCTCTCAGATGACGCCACGGCATCTGATTTCATATCGGATAACTTTTTAATGAGTGGATCTAATCAAACGCCGATGTTAAAATATTAAGAATGGAACGACATCTTGTGAGAAAACTATTTTGTGTAACATTACATTATACAAACTTAATCTCAAAATTGCGAGATACTTTTAAAAAAGAACGTTGAGGGAAGTGATGTATTGCATCAACAGGATAATGCTCCCTGGCATGAATTTCTGACGCTACCCTTCACCACGCAGACTTTGATTCGGTAAATTACCCACCCTATTTGCTAGATCTGTTCTCCAGGAATCTCAGACTAAAATTAATTTACCATTTACAAGAAAAAAAATTAAGCAGCACCGGCTGTTGCCAGTGTCATAATTATTTCGATACAGAAATCACTAAAAATCAAAATTATAATGCCGGATCTGTAAATTAAGTGATGAGACTGATTTTTAAATTTTCTCATTGAAACATAATTACAATTTTACATTGTCACCCTTGCTTGCAATTGATGCCACAATTTTCAGAACACAATAGAAAAAACTGTTTAAAAAAATTGTTACGAATAACCAAATGACTCGAGCGAAATCACACTTGTACTGAAGGCGGATCACATGTTCCCCTGTTACCCCTCCAAGCCCTGCGCTTCCAGTGTTGCCAGATCCAACACTACGTTGCTAGTCATTACACACCTCGTATGTCGGAAAGACGAAATCGAAATTGGTTTCAAGTGTCGAAATTCAACTTGAATCAAGCCTCCGGCAGATGCAAAATGGACAGAGCGCTACTATTTTCCTTTAAGCTTCAGTTTGGAGCGGAGCCAAATAATGCCTGAGACAAATAAATAATGACCGCACTATATCATGGGTGGTAAACTGATACGGTCTTACAGTGGTCACCGGATGTGAATGTTTAATGTCCCCAGACATGTTTAAGAGCTGCTCCACAGTCAGACGTGCGGTAGGTGAAGTCGTGTTTACTGTTTTTTGTTACAATTTTACATCTGAAAGAAAAACAAAACGTGCTGCTTGTACAGAGAACTTCTTGTATTGATACGGTTTATTTATTTACGAGTAAATGAAAAAGCAGTAATCAAGTTTGTTTGGGATAGATTTGTTTGTTTGCTTCTATACACATGTCAGATGCAAAATTGCAGACGTTTGACAAGTGCACTAATTAATACAAGGTAGCCGGCTGTGCATGCGCTGAAAAGCAATCATAGATTAAACTCGTGAAAATATTTGAGCATTGAGCTATATATAAAAATTATATCTACAGTTCATACTGTTATCGACACGTAAACTGGGATTCGGGGTTTTCCAAGGATTTTCTATTCCATACAGGAGGAACAGGATGTTTCGTACTTGAATGGATATAGTGAAATGATTTGTAGTATGAACCGAGACCTTTTCATATCTGAAAATAATAAATTTCTAAATTCATTTCTTATGTTCTTAATATGTACCAAATATCTCAGGCACTCTAGAACAGATTATGTTGAAATTTTGCACGATAAAAAGGTTACCTACCTATCAGTAGACTAAAACTGGACGCACGATTCGAAATCCAGGGCCGGACTCCGCTTTTTCATTTTTTTCAAAATCAACACCTTTTAAACTGAATATTGAAATGTTTGACTATAAAAAGCCAATGCATGCAGTTGATTACTTAGTAAAATAGATTTTTTTCTTAAACATCTTTATCATCAACATTTTACAAAATAATTTAAATTTGAGCTAATGATGCTTTAGGAACTAAAAAATTCAGGGTCGAATTCAGTTTTCTTTTTTGTATTTCTTTACATTTTAACGCTCAGTAATTTATATTCTAAATGAATGAACGATGGAAATTGTATGTGAACGGCAAAATATGGAGTTGGCTAGGGCATCTTTTTTGAGGAATACGTTTATCAATGTTAGTATTTCGGGGTGTACGCGAACTCATCTTTTTTTCAATAAGGTGAGCCTCCTTAGACAGTATTGCGATGAAGCATTTTCTTTCATAATATCAATAATATGACTAGAGAAGAACTTCCAAACTACTGGTGTTTCTCACTTTTTTGACGGCCTGGTCCTGTGGACATCCTTTAGTACCTAGTACTAATAAAAGCAACTATAGTATGCTCACATTTGAAATAACGTAATTGTTGCATGGGATAAAACATTCGTTAATGAAGGCAATGCAAATAAATACATCCTCCTTATTTTTCATCGGATGATATTTCATGCAAAAGTGAATAACAACGCGTCCCACCTGACAAATATCCATAATTGTGACACATTCAGTTTGAATTGCATGCGGTGAGCAAGATTGCACGTGCTGTTTTTCATCATCTATAAATAGCAAATCGATAACATGATTGCATATCAATTTCATTTTCATTTATTGTAACTGAGAAGAATTTGAAAATTAATTCTAAATATGTTTTCCTCATATTTGATTACATACCTTTTAAAAAATGTCGTATGTCGAGATGCAAGTACATATTTCCCTGCATTTATCTTGCTGGCACATAGTCTTTACCATGAGCTGTGCATTACATTCTTTGTTTTCGTAACTTTGACGCCTGTTATTTAAACTGATCAATTTGACCAATCATCAATTCAATAGGCCCATAACGGGTCCAACAATGCAGCTGGTCAACATTTTTCGGACTTACATCAATTGTATTTCTATAAAATTATACTTACGATTCGTGAAGGTAAACCTATTATGTACGTACTGAGACCGTAATTATGATACACGAAGCATTCAAAATTATAGTAACAAAAGCAAATAAAAGTATATTTACCAGATGTCACAGCTTTTTAGGCCCATAGAATCGTGTTTCTATAGACATAAGAAAACTTCAAAACCTCAGTTTATTTAAGAAGGAAATTAAAAGTGATGGTGAAAACGTTACCTATAGCCAATATAAAAAGTTTTAGAGTTATAGAAAAGAACCTATTTTTTTAAATTTACTTCCTGTTTTCTCTATGGGATATTCCGGAAGGGTAATTGATTTAATTTTTTTGCCACTCACAAGGCTTTGCCTTTTATGGCTTACCTATTTATTTATCTAATGTTATAAATTTTTGTTCAGTGTGTTTTATTTTTAATCCAATCTAACCACTAAAAGAAATCCACTGATGCCCTTTAGATAATCGTAACATATATGTAACTAATAGTGTACTGGTGTACATGCTTTGTTTTGGACACAAAACTGTAGTCAAGTTAGTGCAGCTTGGTCCTCTTAAATCGTCGGACAGCGTTACGGTTATGCAGCAGCTTTCGAGCTCATCTGCATTGGATTGTTAAAGCAGCCTTTCTCCGCTAATTTATTCTTGTCTGTAACTAGAGATAAATTTATTCTGATGTATGCCACTGATTGTGACCAAATTCTGAGTAAATCGGGCGTATTGCTATCATATCAGTTTTTAGCTAAAATCAACTGGAGGTCAAATAGGGTCGCGCAGTAGCAATATAAGTATTGTAGGATTTTTATATGATCAAGTAGAACGAAAACTTTAAAAGAAATTGTAAAGATAATCCAAAGAAATTAGCATATATGCAATTTCGAACAAAACAATTTTTTTGTTTAGATTCGAAATTAGCGTCTTATATTAAGCTGATGTTCGAATCTAATACTAAATATTAAGGAGCACCTGTATCCTGTACCAGTTCGATTTTATCTGACGCAGAAAATTGTCATCATGCTAGGCTATAATGCTATCATTCTGACTAAGAGTTTCATATCGAAACCTTCTACACATTTGAACGGATAATCGACTTCGGATCTGAAACACAAGTACAGACCGCACCATTTTTTTATATCGGTCTGAGTCGTATGCGCTTCCAAGAAAAATATAAGTGGTACTCAACTTTATGGGTATCAACATGAAGAAATTACAGCGTTGAAACCTTATGGCACGTTGTTTAACGCATGCTAAGCATATGTGTACTTACTAACAATAGCTTGGCCTTTTATAT